GGATTCCCTGAATACTTTATAATGTATCATTGTCCGAGATAAAAATGCATCCTGAATTTTGAGGCTCAGAAATTATCTAAAAAGTAGGAATAGAAAGCCATGAAGGAAGGATGGTAACTAAATGACTAAATTTGACAAGGTCTGGGGACCAGGAAATGATTCCCAAGCAATTCATTAAAGAAACAAAGCCATGTTCCAGTGTTTCCTGGGAAAGATGAGTTCATGAATAGGAGGGTAAAATTTTAGTGGATGAGGAATACACGATATTGTATCATTCCGTGGCAAGAATGGTGTGCCAGCTTCAACAGTTCCCAGGCTCCTGAAGGAAGAGGAAGGTTACATGGCAGGAAAAGGAAAAGAGAGTTGCAGAGCCATCAAAATGGGAGTTGGAAAGATAAGGGAATTGTGGTGAGGACTGAGCATTAGGAGGGGTAAAGGAGGTGGTCAGGGCTCTTCAAGCCAAGCCCCAGCTCCTATCATCAGCCCTTATCTCCTAGTTCATTCCCTGCCTTGTTATTGTACAACAGATCTCATCTGTGTTTGGTAGTGAGTTAGATTTTGATGAGGACAGAAAAGGGAGCTGGATTTCAGACAGCCCAGTCTTTGCTTTACATGGAAGTGCTCAATAGCATTCACTTATACTACTTCACAGATATTTAAAACATGCTCATATACCTTAGTTTGTCTGAATCTTTGTTGAGAATAAAATATTAAGAGTGGTTTAGAGCCAAGAGAACTGGATGGGGAGTCTACACTGGATGGGAGCAGAGCAGATCACTGGGCAACTAAGAGTAGGTATCCTTGTGTACAAAATAAGGTGAGGACATTGTATAGGTGCTGTAAAAGATTTCTTTCAGTTCTGACACTCTATGACATTCATTCATTCATTCATTCATTCATTCAGTGCCAGGCATGATTCTAGGCACTGGGGATGCAGTGGTAAACTAAACAAACAGCCCGATGGAGCTGACATTCTATTGGGAGAGACAGAGACATACACATGTATGCAGATAAATATCTAGGATATGATTTTTATAGTAAGTGCTATGAAGGGACATAGAGGGGAGGAGGAGGAGGAGGAGGAGGAGGAGATGATATTTGAACAGGGAAATGAGTCTTGTGGATATCTGAGGTAAGAATATTCCAAGGGAAGTATAGAGGCCCCCAGGAAGGTCCCATTTCAGGAGCAGCAAGCAGGCAGCAGCAGTGAGAAGGCAAGTGGTAAGCAATGACGGCAGGCAGGTGGCCATCTTATCTTCTGTGACTGTCTGATGACACCTGCGTCCAGATATCACAGAGCCTCAGTCCCATGGCAGGTGATAGGGAAGCAGCCTCAGGAGTGTCTGAATCGGGGATACCTCTGGCTGCGTGTGGAGGGCAGAGCTGGGTTTAAGGTAAGGTAAGTGGGCAGACTGGATGCAGGAGACCAGAGACAGACAGGACGCTCTTACTGTGAGAAACCTTGGTGAAACATGACACTAGTTTAGGCTAGAGCGGTGGTGGATGGAATGGCGAGCAATGGTTAGATTTGGGATATATTTTGAAGGTAAATCCATCAGGAATTTTGGTGATGGATTGGATGGGAATCACCAAGAAATGAGAACAATCAAGGATGCTCCAAGGTTTGTGGCTGGAGTAGCTAATGCTAGTTCCCTTACTTGGGTCAGAGTACACATGGCTGGGAAGAGGAATAAAGCTAGAATTCAGTTTCAGACATGCCAAGTTTAAGAACTCCAACTGGATCTAAGTGAGGTCATTGAGAAGGGAATTGGATACAAATCAGATATTCTGAGGAGAGGGAAGCTGGAGGTAGACAGTCAAGCATTATCTCTGAATAGATGCATTTAACATCATAGAATGGATGGATAACTTAGGGAGTATGTGTAGATAAAAAAGAGGATGGAAGACAGGCCGTGGGGCACCCTGACATTTTGAGGTAGAGAAGAAGAGGGACAGCCATCAAAACAGGCTGAGCAACAGCAGCCAGTAAGAGAGGAGGGAACCCAGGAGCATGTGCCCTAGTAGAACAGAGAGGGAAGGATTTCAAGAGAGAGAGAGGGGAAGGTTGTGCCTAAAGCTGCTGAGATGTTAAGGTCCAGGCTGAGAACTGACCAATGAATTTGGCAGGAGAGGTGGGGAAGACTAGTTCAGTGCAGTGTCATGTATAAAAGCTTAATAAGAGTATATTAAAGAGAACTGGAAGAAGTAAGGAGATCACTCTTTAAAGGGTCTTTTTGGAAAGAGCAGAGAAAATGGGGAGGTAGCAGTGGGAGAATATCGAGTCTAAAGAGAATTATTTTTTAAGATGGGAGGTATTATAGCAGGTTTTTATGTTGTTAGGAATGATGCAATAGAAGAGGAAGCGTTGATGATGCACAAGAGAAGCAGGAATTCTAAGGGCAAAATCCCTGACTAGGCAGGAGGGGCTGGGGTTCAGTGCCAGAGGGGACATTGAGAGGAGCAGGGACAGCTCAGCCACTGCGTGGGAGGGAAGGCAGATGCAGGTTGTCTGGGAGACGGAAGATAAGGCAGCTCTGGTGTGAGTGCTTCTATTTTTTTTCAGTGAAATCAGAAGACAGGTCATCAACTGAGAGTGAGAAGTGGGAGGGGAAGTTGGCTGTTTGAGGGAAGCTGTGAGGTAGTCAGCCTGGGGTGACTTGAACAGGAACATACAATGGGATTTCCAGCAAGTCACAGACACCCCTGTACGTACAATTCTACTGGGAGATTTGGGGTGAATGGAAATGAAGGGAGGGTGAAGGTCACAGAGTGAGGGGGTCCATATACTACCTTGCACACATTTGGATAAATCCCTCAAGTTAAAGATGTAATGGGACTTGGCTGGTGTTGGCAGAAGATCAACACTCATTCTGTTATAAATCTCAACTGAAGCCTCGACGATGTTGGATGTAGTTCGCTTGACAGCTGGTGGGAAGTCATTCAGGAAGCCATTTAAGATGGCCTAGAACCAGAAACATAGTAGGAGAGTTAGAATTTTTTTCCACCAAAAATTTATTTTTCAAGTGTTCCAGATTTGATACTTTTTCCAATAATAACTAGGAAGCTGAAATCCAATGCAAGGATATCTGGGCGTTAAACTCTTCCATTAATTTAAGACTATGTTCCCAAGAGTGGGTTCACGCCTATCTTCTGTGATGTCTGGTGACGCCTGGGCAGCATTCACATCTGAGCAGTAAACTTACCATGAACTTACTCTCAAGTAATTTAGACTGCTGTTCGCTGTGGGTCCAGAGGACCTGCATGGAGTGCCCAGACGCATCTGGAAATGAACTGAAGTCCTCTTTCATTTTTATGAGTGAATGACCAACAATTCTATAGACGTTCTTCTTCATGTATATTTAAAGTGCAACTTACTCATAACTACAGACTCCCTCCCCTGCAGCTTCCCCATCTCAGTACACGGCCCTACCCTCTGCTCGGATCCGGAACTTGCAAGTGTCTTTTGACACCTTCCATGCTCTGTCCCCACAATCAATTTTGAATACATTTCTTGAATCAGTTTCCCCTGACATTACCCCATTCAACTCTTTTTCATCTGAGCTTCTTCACTCCCTCCTTCCACTGGCCTCTCCATTTCCACTCGTCTCCATTCTGTTACCTCCAATCATGCATTCAGGCGCGGCACCCTTCTGTCAGTCCATGCTCTGCCCCCACCCAGCCTCCTCACCTCACTCCCCCTGCATTGCGCACTGTATCTCAGCCACACTGGCCTTACCGCCATGCTGTCTCCTCCATCAGGGTCTCTGCTCATGTCCCCTTCCTAGTCCCCACCCCCACATGGCTGTCTGCTTGGGAGGAATTTTCTCCTTCATGTTTCAGGTTACATGCCGTCTCTTCAGAGAGGCCTTCCCTGACCACCCTATTTAAAATAAGTCCTCTCATTAGTCTCTTATGGCTCACTGATCTCCTCATATGTAACTTGCCACAATCTGAAAGTACGTATTTATGAGTTAGCCCCTATTCCCCGTTGCTTGGTAAATCATTATTGATTTTGAAGTGGATAAATTTCCCATCATCAGGCAAGTTACTTGAGACACCCCTCACCACTGATCACATCACAAAGTGTGTCAAGGTAGCATGGCTGGGAATCACTCATTTCAAACTTCAAAATATACACATGAAGGTTCTCAGCAAAAAGGTGGGACTTAAAAAAGTCTTCTAATACTGGTGTTGGTTCTCCCATTACCCGCTTCATGTCTTGCTCTACACTTGGGGATCAATTATAGGAGATCAGCTCCCATCTTTTCATTCTAAAGAACTCGCCAAAGTTTTTCATAATGCGGTAGTTCTTACGTATCATTTTGGCATTAGCTCTGAAACAACTTTTTGGAACAACTTGAAATTTATTAAAACTAATTTCCCATGGATGTAAGCTCCTTCGATAGGACAATACTTTCCACAGGCTGGCTCTGCTCCTTTCTCTCCTCTGAGGGCACCCATCGGCAGGAGAGGCCAGTGCTGTAAATGCAGAGAGGCTCCCCCATCCCCACATCACACCCCTCTTTGGCTGCTAGGTGATCACCTCCCAAGTCAGCTTCTCCAGACCAATTACCTAACTGTCTCATTCTAGCTGGACACCCATTCCTACCTCTGTGACCGCATTCACCCACATATCTCCCACCGCCCAGAACCTGCTCCTCCCTGTCCATTCCATCTCCCAGAACTCAGCTCACCATCTGTCTTCTCTAAGCAGTCTTTGCTGCCTGGTTATGGCACGCATGACGCTTCATGTCCTTTTATCATTCGATTCAAATAATGCCTTACATTTATTAAACACTTTTGCTGACACTTATAGGGCAGGCATGGTTTTCCTCCCCATTTAAAGGATGAGGAAGTGGCCCTTAGCGAAGTTTGTACAGGTGGGAGAAATATGGACATTTGTTTCTATGGGAGGAGGTGGTGGCCGCAGAAGTGATGAAGTCTGAGTTGTGTTGAGCTTGAGCTTGTGGGGGAACACCAGGGGTTGCGTTTGGTGGGCATGTGGACACACAGGCCTGGTGGTCAGGCAGCAGATGGGCAAGGAGGTAGGGGCTGGGCAGTGGGTGATATATGCTGAGAGCTGCTCAGAGTACAATGCGGCAAGCTCCCGGGGTACAGCCGTCCTTAAAGGTGGGGGCTGTGTTTTGACAGTCTTTCTGCATTTCTAAAACTATCTCCGAGACCATAAACACAGAAGGCAGTGATGCAAATGTCTATCAGCTTCCTCCCAGATGCCCTATGGTTTACCTGGTTTCTGCTCAGGACAGGTAAAGATGGGCTCTCTAGAAACACAACAGACTGTTTTGATTGTGGGAGTCTTGGAACAAATATATTTTCCCTCTTGCCTAAATTTAAACCCACACTCACCTGAAAAATCTGTTTTAGACTGTGCTCTGAGGGCATCGGGAGACACAGCATGCTGAAGTGTCGGATGAAGCGGGGAGTCACGGGGTTGCGGCCACCGCCTGGAGGTGCGCACGCTGATACAATCGTTACATCCTGTCCGGGGAGAAATCCACTCGGGTCACCCAGCAAAGAAAGATGAGGTCTGTCCATGCCAATGGCAGGGCTCAGAACCAGCAGTTTTTGAGGACCTACCCTTTGCCAGCATTGCATTACATTATCCTGCATATTATCTGATTTAATCCTCACACCAACCCCAGAAGATCACTCCTGTTACCCACCCCCCACTTTGTAGATGAAAAAAATCAAGGCCCCGGATATTTAAGTTATTCAAGGTCACTCAGCTAACTCATCTGCCTTATATGAGGTGCAATAAAAAACTACAGTGAATATCTAAATAAAAAAATTTATTATAGTAAAAAACACATTGCCGCCATTAATCCCCCTCAAAATACTCCCCCTCACTTTGAACACACTTATCCCATCATTCTTGCCACTTTCTGAAGCAGCTCTGGAAGTCCTCTTTCATGAGTGTCTTTAGTTGTGCTGTTGTGGCTGCCTCAATGTCCTAAATTGGTTCAAAACATTTACCTTTCATGGTCATTTTTACTTTAGGGATGAGCCAGAAGTTGCACAGTGCCAGATCCGGTGAATAAAGTGGATAAGGACACACTGTAATGTTTTTATTTGACAGAAATTGCCTTACCAGAAGTGATGTGTGACAGAGCATTGTCATGATGGTGGATGAAGTAATGACACTCCCAGAACTGCTTCAGAAAATGGCAAGAACAATGGGATAAGTGTGTTTGAAGCGAGTGGGAGTATTTTGAGAGAGATTAATGACAACGTGTCTTTTACTGTAATATATTTTTTAAATTTAAACATTCACCATATTTTGCGATCATACCTCATATAAGTACTCCTACATAAAAATTTAATCTTAAAAAATTGTAAGAATTTGTAATCAAGTTAAAATACATCCATTCAACAAATGCTAATTGATTCTTATTATTTGTGGTAGTTGTGTTCTATAAAGTTGCCAGGAACACTGAATTAACACACACTGAACCATTGCTCTCAGGGGAAAATACAAGGTTAGGTTCTAGTGAGCCTCTCATAACATTTTCATCAACTGATCAACATATGACATTGCAGTTGCCTCTGGTCTTGCCTCCTCTCTAGTCTCCCCCCACCCTCCTCGCACCAACGGGATCTTTCCATAACATTTTCTTCAGAGGCTCCCCATCACTGAGGGGATAACTAAATCCACATCACTGGTACCATGGCCCCTGGGCTGACCTCTGCATCTCCTGCTGCTTTGGTGCTCACCTGAGCTGTTCCACATTCCCTGCCTCTGAGATGCACAATGCTCTTGCCTTGCGTTACCATGCTCTGCCCACAAAACCCTGTTCCAACCTCACCTTCTCTGGGAGGGTTTCTCTCATCCTCGACCCAGCCCCCACTCTGCCTCCTTCCTGTCCATTCATCACCCTGCCTTATAAATACATGTCCATCTACCCTCCAAAGCTGAGCCCCCTGGGAGGTGGGGGCTGTCTTACTTGTCCATTAACCTCCTGAATCAAACAGAACAAGACCTCAATATTGACTGATGAATTACACATAAGAAACACTGAAGCCATAAGTTATGGGCTAAATTGTGTCTCTCTCTCCCTCCCCATGGCCAATGATATGTTGAAGCCCTAGTTCTCAGCAATCTCAGAATGTGACTGTATTTGGAGACAGGGTTCTTTAAAGAGGTAACTGAGTTAAAATGAGGTCATTAGGGTGGGCCCAATATTACTGATGTCCTTATAAGAAGAGAAGTTTGGAACACAGAAGGGTACAGAGGAAAGAGCATGAGAAGACACAGGGAGAAGACTGCTATCTGTAGGCCAGAGAGAGGCCTCAGAGTAAACTGACCCCGCTGACATCTTGATCTCAAACTTCCAGCCCCCGTAATTGTGAGAAAATTAATTTCTGTTGTTTGAGCGACTTTGTTATGGCAACCCTAGCACACTTACACACATGTCCTTGCTGTTTAAATGTAAACATGCAAAGTAATTTAAAGCCTAAAATAACCTGTATGTCTTTCCAAAAAAGTTTGTTTCTGTCATAAAATCCACCAAAATCTTGATACTGCCGAAGTAATTCAATCGGAGGCTGAGAGCCATAGTGATCCAGTCTGGGCATGTTTAAATCGTCAACAAAAATCACAACATGTTTGTTTCCTGGTGCTCCTGGGAGAAGAAAGTGAATTTAATTGAAGAATTATGATTTGCCTTTAGAAAATGTAAAAGAAATTTTAGGTAAGGCTTTTGACTCAACGAATACCACCCTGTAGGTCATAATGAGCTCAGTTCTTCTCTCAGGGATGAAGAGAGTCCCAGCAGAGTCCTGCCTCGTGGAGGAAAGACCCCTCTCTGGCCCCATCAGGCCCCTGCAGGGAGATCTGGACCTGGCCGGATGTCCACATTGTCAGAGGGTCCCCCACCACCATTCTCAGAGGTGCATGATGGTGCCAGCTCTCTAGTTAGGCACTGACCTTCCTCCATCCCAGCCTCCGCTACTGCCCTCACCAACTGTGTGGCCTGGGCATGGGGTAAGGAAAGTCATTTTTTTTTTTCACAGTAGGAAGCAGAACTCCAAAGCTTCCTTACCTAAACGCCATCTCACCACCCTCTACAGGGAAAACAGGGCTGGATATTCAAAAGCATCCTGATAACATCAAAGGGAAACCCAGTGCAGTGGAGCTGGACGATGCCATATTTAGCTTAAAGAAAATCAATATACACACAGAAAAAAAAACAAAGAATGAGGGATAACAGAGAAAAGAGAACAACTTAAGCAGAGGAGGTGACTCTATCTAGCCCTTGACAGTTCCAAGGTAACTGAGGCAAACTCAGTGCTCCATTCCACCCTCCGGTCCCTGGAACCCAAGAAGCAGGATGGGGGTGGGGAAGGATATAAAATAATTATTCATAAAGATTTGGGGTCCCTGTAAGGAAAGACTGGCATCCATTGTCCTTTGCCTACCTGAGCAGGGAAAAAGGAGCAGAAAGGGGCGATGAAGCTGCTGGTATCGCCCATTAGACGACGGACAATGTGGAAGGCAGCTGAGCCTGAGCTCTGGGTAGTGCTACACCCAGGAGGGCTGTGAGCTGGGCGAGTGGACCTCAGCTGCAAGAGGCTGCAGGAGGTGCCACTGCAGGTGGGACTGAGGGAGTTGAGACCCTGATTCCCCATATTAGGGAACCTTGCAGTGGGGAGGCCAATGCTTGACCTGTGCACAGCTCTCTTGGGAGTCCCTCAGAGAGCCCGCTCCTGGGAGCCTGCCATCCAGAGAGCGTGGACAGTCATTCAGCACCAGCCAGAGAAGCAGGGACAATCCACACAGAAGCCCATCTAAGCACCAGGCAAGGAGAACACATTTGTCTTTTTCTTCTCCTCCCACCCCAACACACCAGAGCCTCCTGGAGGGAAGGTGGGAAGGATAAGAGCACCCATGCCCTCTCCACCTCCAGTGCCTCGGGCCGCCACAAACATGGCTTATGACAGAGAGGTGGAAGAGCTTTATAGTGGGTTTGAGATTGAAGCTTTACATTGAACCAGCCTCAAAACAACTGAAAGCGACCAGAAAGTTATGCTATTTATCTAAGCAGTTAATAAGGAGGGGTGAGGAAGGTCCAACAAAGCCTGGATGAGCGCTCTGACTGAAGAAGAAAACAAAACAATTTCATGCTTATTTCCTACTGAGTTCAGGTAACTCAGTGCACCAGATAGAAAGAGGTGGTTTTGTTGTATTAAATAAAGGGAAACTAATGCAGCTCTGAAAATAGAGCATGAGTGGGGAGGGGGAGAGTCGTGGAGAGGCAGAGATTGAAGATGTGAGTTGAAGGTGATGATAGAAATAACTTGCTTGCTGACAGTAAGATATCTAATCTATATACTGGGATGCCAAAAAATGCATACACAGGACTTGTAGTCATCTTTTGTTATCAGCATATATTGAGTATTACAATTTTAATGCAGTTTTTTCCTTTCTTAAAATGTGTATACATTTTTTTTGGCACCCTCTGTATATAGCACAGGAAAGAATATCATTACCTGAATCACCTTTACAATTAAGCAAAGAAAACATCCAATTGTATTTTTATTACATGCACTGTTTTTGTGACTTATTAATTTAATAATTTGTGTGAGACAAATGAAAATGATAATTCTTACCTAGAATATTTTTTCTTTTCCTTTCCAATTTGGACTCAATAATCTCTTGTGTTCGTGCAGATGAAGTTTGAGCAGAAAAATTTAGATAAACAGGAACATAGCCACCTGATTCTTGAATCTTACTTAGCAATCCTTTTGCAATAACAGACTTCAAATTTAAAAAAAAAAAAGTTAATTATTTTACATTCAATGTAACATCTTTCAATTGTCTTTATGAGTAATAATCCAGTACAATGAGTAAGAAGCAGGATAGAAGGAGAGAGGGTAAAGTCAGATTGAAATGTCTGTCTTTCTCTTCCTGAAGATTTCATTTAATTATATTTATCAGAACCAAAGAAATATTTTCATCAGCTCTATCTTGGCAAAAAGTTTTTATTTTAGTTTCATACCAAAATCCATCTTGGTTACTATCCAAGTCAATTTAATAGCAAGAATCATAGAAGGACGTGAACTTCTTTTAGAAATAATTTAGAAAGGAAACAATCCCTGTTTATGTGGAATCCCCTCAAAGACAAGACAACCAAATAATTAACACTTCCCTCGTATTCTACTTTTTCCAAACACTGTTGCTGTGTGAGGTACAAGGAAATGTGCAGGAGGGGGCAAACTGGCCTTCATCAATAGTCTATTGGGGACAAAAACTGCTTGGGCTACTTCCCACCCTAACTTGTGCAGTGGCGGCCCCAGAAATTCCACAGGATATGACATAAAAGCCCCAAACACCAAACATTGGCCCCCCAGGGTCTTCTGGTTTATATAGTATTGATGCCAAAGACTTATTCAGATACTGGCAAACTTTGGAATACTTCCCAAGGTCGATATAGAGTCAGCATAGTTAGATTCTTCCTGAAAAAAGTGATCAAAATTCGAAACAATTTCCCTTGAGAAATAATGTGTTATTTATGGGGCTCAGGATGCTAAGCCCACCATGCCCTCATTTTTGGAGAGACCTTGTTTGATGAAGGTTTCCTACCTTTCCAACTCCAGTTGTTCCAGTAAATAGCACCGAATGCCTGACGGCCAGTAGTTTTTCCATTAGATACCCAAAGCGCACAGTGTCAACCGTGGAGACAAGCATTTCAAAAAATGGAACATCTCGGCTGTACTTGAAGGTGGTTATGATTCGTTCCCAGGGGTCCAGCCGTTTGGTGTCAAAGTCCATGTGAACGCTCCACAAATCGCCAGAACTGGGGAGCTGAAGCAGAAAATTAAGTACCACTTTCAATAGGATTGACACACAGCAATAGAAACATTCATGCAGAAACAAAGGCAGTCGTAGAACACATATGGATTTGGATTTCTTTTTCTTTGTAGAGAAGTAGTTGTTTCCATATCAGAGTTTAATTCTTCAAATACAATCATGGAACACAATGCAAGGGAAAAAATCTGATATATTGATTATATTAAAACTCCATATTAGAATTGTGAAGCATTTTCAATACAATTAAAAATTCAGAGGTTTGCTTATGACAAATAATGTCTGGGTGCTGGGGGCAAGTGCTGAATGAGACCTAATCTCTGTTGTCAATGACCTTGAAATTCATATGAGGGACACAAGGACATTAGTTATACCCCTGGAGACAAAAAGGGTTCTAATGGACTTCAGTACATTCACAGAGGAGAGAGGGGGCTTATTTCTACTTGCAGGGGCGTTGTGGTGGTGGCTGAAGATTTAAGAAGGCTTCTAAGAGGTGCTGATGCTTGAAGGACAAGCAAGAGTCAGATGGGCAAAGAAGGGATAGGATGGGGAATGGGGAAGGAAGGGTCAGGGTTCAAGTAAAGAAAACAGGTCAGGAAACAAGATGTGAAAGTGCCATGCATGCTGGGAGTGATGAGAACACTGCACATTGTGGGAGATGAGGCAAGGAGCACAGACAGGGCTAGGTTATGAAAAGACTATGAGTTTGGAGCAAGAGTTCAGTGAAGGATTCTAAGTAGGTGGGTGACATGATTAGGCTGCATTTCAGAAGTTTTATTCTGGCAGCTGTACAGACCAGTAGTGTTTCAAGATCATTTGACAGTGACTCAATAAGTCCATTTGACAAGGTGACCTAGTAATACATATGTGTGTGTGTGTGTGTGTGTGTGTGTGTGTGTGTGTGTGTGTGTACAAATAATGTATAATATTTACCCCTACTATCTGCAATTCATTCTATTTTCTTTCTATTCTAGTTTTAAAAAAAACTTTTGAGCACAATATAACATCTTTTGTCAGATTTAAAAAATCCATTTCAAAGAGTTTTTACATATGCAAATTTCAATGTAAGCACAATATAGAATATGTTCAATACCTCAGAAAGCAACTTTCTTCCCCTTCCCTGTCAATACCAGCTACACCTGAATCCTCCTCTGAAGTAAGTCGCTAGTCTACCTGTCTGGGCACTTGTCTACCTTTGCACTAACACCATACTCTTAATTATTGTTGCTTTATAGTTTTGAATTCTTGATGTCATGTAGTTTAAGTCCTCCAAATTTGTTGTTTAGACTCTCTTGGTTATTACAGGTCTTTTACATTTTCATATAAGTTTTATAATGTAATTACCAATTTCCATAAAAATCTATTGGGGTTTTGTGATTGGGATTGTCTTGAATTTAGTCTTGTCTTGAATTTAGATACACTATGTCTTAAACATAGTACATCTCTCCATTTATTCAGATCTTTTAAAATTTCTCTTGGCAATGCTTTATAGTTTGCAGTGTAAAAGTCTTTTATATCCTTTTTAGATGTATTCCTAAGAATTTGATATTGTGATACTATTGAAATTATATTGTTTTAACATTTTATTTTTGAACTTTTTGTGGACTCTGTATCCAATGACTTTGCTAAATTACTTATCAATTCTCTTCATTTGTTTGTAGAATATTTTGGATTTTCTACTATTCAGTTATATTTCCTGCAAATAATGACAGTTTTATTTCTTCCTTTCCAAAGTTTATATTTTATTTCTTTTATTTTTTATTTTTGCCTTATTGAACTGGCTAGGCTCTCCAATATAGTGCTGACTAAAAGTTGTGATAGTGGCTATTTCATTTTTTAAAAACTGAATTGTGACTCTTTCAGTAGATAACACAACCAATTAATAAATAGATTATAACCTGTAATTTTAAAAAACACTGAGTTAGATAGGACTGGACCAAAGGCAAGAGAGTAATAAATGGGCTATTTTAATAACCCAGAAAAGAAATGATATTAACCAGAGGCAATCAGGATGAAGATATGAGGACATATTTGAAAAAAATATATAATTAGAAGAAAAAAATTCACTCAACTTCGTGTTTCATTGGCTATGGGAAGATGAATAACGAAGGCCAGTATTCACTGAGACAAGGAATACAAATCCAACAGCCCAATCATTTGGGACTTGCAGACTGATGGAGGATTCCACCTTCTCATTCTGGACACTCTCCTGTTATCCAAGTAGCATTACCACTGCCATGTCAGAGGCTGGCACCAACCTGCTAGATATCCTATGGCCGTAACCCATCAGTAGCTTCTCATTTCACCCCAGGAGAAAAGCCAAAGTCCTTACAATGGCCTGTAAGGCCCTATATGTTTTGCTCCCCTGGCATTTCTCTGACCTTGTCTCTACTACACTCTCACCTGATCATTCCACTCTAACCTCACTAGCCTCCCTGCTCTTTCTCAAAATTGTCAAGCAGTACTTCAAGTAAAGGCCTTTGTATTTGTTTCTCTTTCTGACTGGAATGCTTTCTCCCTGAATAATCACTAGTGCTTTGACTTTCTTCGGGAGTCTCTATAAATATGAACTTATTAGCAAAGTTTTCCTGATTACCATATATAAAATAGTTCCCCACCGCAACCTGGCACTCCCTGTCATCCTCACTCTGCCTTATTTTTCTGCATAGCACTTATTGCCAGCTGATGCATTGTATATTTGTCTATTCCTAGATATTTTATTTTTTGACTCCCATCACTGTAATGTAAGATCTATGAGGCTATGGATTTTGGTTATTTGCTTTAGCCACAGTAGTGAGAATGGTGCCTAGCATGTGATAGGTTTTCAATAAATATTTGTTGACTAAATACTGAATGTTTGCTCTGGGCCATCTCTTCTTGCTCTTTGATGATCCCAGGTCATTTCCCTTGACTCAGTGAGGTCAGTTTCTTTGTCTCAAATTCCTAATTGTCCTCAATTTGGTCCATCCTGTCCAACTATGATACAGTTATCTTGAGGATCTGGTAAGGCTTTACATGTGCTAGAATGTCCTAATCCATAAGGCTCAGATTCTTGACTTAGGAAATTTTTTCCTGGTAACTTCTTATTTTGATACAGCTTAAAACATACATAAAAGTTAAAAGAATAGTATAAAGAACTCTCATATAGTCTTTATTTAGATTAACTGATTATTCACATTTTGCCCCATTTGCTTTATTATTACCTTTCTCTCACTCTGTGAGAGTCAGCTGTATGTATTATTCCACCTTATCTTACATACTTGAGTGTGTATTTCCTAAAGAACAAGGATATTTTCTTATATAGCCACAGTAAAATGATCAAAATCAGGAAACTGAATACTGATATAACGTTACTTACTTTACATCCCCTATTCAAATATTGCCAATAGTTTTAATAGTCATGTATAGCTATATTTTTCCCACTCTAGGATCCAATCCAGGATAATACATTGCATTTAGTTATATCTCTTTAGTCTTTTCATCTGGAAAAGTTCCCCAGCTTTCTTTGTCTCTCATAACAGACATTTTTGAAAAACATAGGCCAGTTTATTTTATAAACTGTTCATTTATTTAAGTATTCCAGGTGTATCCTCATAAATAGATTCAGGTTATACATTTTTGAAAGGACTATCTCAGAAACAAGGTTGTATCTTTCTCAGTGCACCACATCAGGAGGCATAGGTTTGTTCTAATAGTGGTGATATTAAATGGATCACTTAGTTAAGCTGGTGTCTACAAGGGTGTTTCTTTGGTTTTTTTTTTGTTTTTTTTTTTACTGCAATGATACTATTTTTCTCTTTGCAATTAAGCAATGGTTTGTAGGACTTACTTTGAAACTATGTAAATATTTTTTCTCATCAAACCTTCCCCCACTAGTTTTAGTACATATTGATGATTCTTGCCTAAACCAATTATTACCATAATGGTTGCAAAGGAATGCCTTTCCGACTCCATTTTTTCTCCTGTACAGATTAGTTGGTCTTGCTGTAAGGAAGAGCTCTTCCTTCTCCCCCATTTATTTCTTCATGTATGTTTTTATTTTCAAAATGGACTCACATATTTTTATGTCATTCAAAGGCTTGTAATCCCATGCTATCATTGTTTATTTTGACACTCAAATCTGCTCAGTGGGAGCCCCTTCAAACTGGCTCCTGTGTTCTTTTGACATGTCTGATCATTCTTGGAGCACTTCTTTACTATGTGACATAAAAAGATATTCTAGATTCATTTTGCCCCAATCCTGGAATCAGCTGTTTCACTAAGGAGCTTTAGTTCCCTTTTGTGGAAAACAGTATTTAGAAATTAGCATACTGGTTATGCTCATTGCTATTAAGGTGTAATTGCTTCTAGTTCCTCTAAGCACACAGAGCTATGAAATTCATATATGTATGAATGCATATATGTGGAATCCATGGATACCAATATTTCCAATTCTAATCCAATAACACAGAATGCATCTAATCTTTCTCCTTCCATATATATATTTCTAAACTATTCAGTTTTTCAGTTATAGTTGGTGGGATTTGCAATCCCACCAACAGTGCACTAGGGTTCCCTTTTCTCCACATCCTCGCCAACACTTGTTGTTGGTTGACTTATTGATGATAGCCACTGACAGATGTGTGATAGCTCATTGTGGTTTTAATTTACATTTATCTGGTGATTAGTGACATTTGAGCATCTTTTCAAATGTCTGTTGGCCATCTGTATGTCCCCGTTGGAGAAATCTCTATTCAGGTCCTCTGCCCATTTTTTAATTGAATTAAAAAAAAATTTTTTTTTTGGTGTTCAGTTGTATGAGTTCTTTATAAATTTCAGATATTAAGCCCTTATCAGATGTGTCATTGGTAAATATCTTCTCCCATTCAGTATGATGTCTGTATGCAAGTGAGTGTGCATGGGCCCTTTAAGAGGGCATCTGGGTTTTCTGCAGCCTTCTGTCTCACCCAGATGGTCAGAATCCCTACTGCTTTTCGCAGCCAGACGTTGTGGGTGCTCCACTTCATGGCACTGGTACTACAGGCTGGAGAGCCCCATGTGAAGCTGGAGTCCCTCGCTCTTTCGTTTTGCTTCCCCGCCCCTCCTACCAGCATTGACATAGCTTCTTCTTTATATCCTTAGTTATAGGACTTCTGTTCAGCTAGTCTTCAGATAATTCAGATAGCTCTATAATTTAGTCACAATTGTAATGTGGTCATGGGAGGAGGCAAGCACAGCCTTTACCTACCCTGCCATCTTGGATCCCCTGACTCACACCTCCTCTTCCATATTTGTAAATCCCTTCTCTAATAGTGAGAAACCTGTTTGCCATTATCCTCAATATATTTTTTTACATTTGCTAAATCTCAGATTCCAATATGAAGGTTAAGTTTACTAACTAGAATTCAATATGCATTTTTATAGTAGGGAGTTTTTTTTATATAGTTCTATACCTCACTTTCTTCATATGGCCAGGAGAGAACTTCTAAAATATTGTATTATTTAATACAGTAAATATTCTCTATGGTTAAAAAAGTGAGTAATTTTAGAAACTCTTTTAGTAAAGATTTTATATTTGCAGTAGAATTAAGGCTCGTAAAGTTTCAGTCTTGAAGTTTAGTTTTAACTATTCAGAGTTAATATGTTGAAATTAAATTTATTTGGCTCTTACCCTGGCATCAGGATTATCATCAAATTGTGTTCTAATAAATGTATCAAAAGAATCCCAGCAGTTTTCAGTTAGATTTCCACCCAAAGACCATAAATAACAGAATACAAAGGTCTGACACAGTATAGTGTTCAGTCTTGTTTGTTCCTGAAAGAACAAAGAAAAGGAATTTTAATATTTTATGTTAACATGAAAAGAATCCTAAATTGCAAAGTCTGAAGACGTTTTCTTTTGTTTAGACTCATGCATTTTTAAAAGGCACAGCCTATGTTTCTTATACTTCATTTAATGGTTCCCAAAGCGATGTTTCATAGTAGTACAAATTTAAATACTCTGATGAGAAAACAAACGGCAAGGTTATATATATATATATATAAAATCTGAAGGTTTTTTTTGTTGTTGTTCCAACTGACCATTATAATGCTATTTATGGCTGCATTAAGGTATTTAAAGGGCTGCTAGACAGACACATTAGAAATATGTTGTGGACTGGAAGGGAATTTAAGCATTGAGTATAAGAGTAAACTATAGGCTCTCTAACATTCCTTCCATCTTAAGGATTCTATTAATCTATTCATAGTCATAAGTCCCCTGAAAAGTTAAGTTGGAAATCAAATGATCATATTATAGAAAATCTGGAGTTATTTATTTGCAAAGCAAATATACAATAATCTCAGTTTTCTAACTTTACAGCAGTAATAGAATCCTTCATACCATTGCCAAATTAACTGCATCTTTCCCAAATATCAAAGACTCCAATAAGTAACAGAGTGTAGTAACTTTGCTAATGTCCACTTGTGGGATCGCTTGGCTGCATTTTTTATTGATAAAATTTAAACCATCATCAACATAACGTTGGAAAAGGTTCAATACATATTCTTGAGTTTCCTCATTTAACTGAAAATAAAACAAAGAAATATATTTTAGCAAAACAAGATGAAATATGTAATTAAGTTTAGAAATGCATTGGTTTATATCTTTATATTATAATATATTCTGTGACTTTTAGTCTAATGGGTATAAATATTACAAGATAATAAATAAATAAATTTTCAAAACCTATGACTTGGAAAAGACATGTGGGGAGATTCTGGGTAGCTGATAATATCTTACATCTTGATTGGTAATGGGTACACAGGTGTTTATAATCATTTGTTAAACTGCCAATATGTATTCCATGCAGTCTTCTATATTGATGACATCTCTCACAATTAGGAAAAATAAAAAAGAAGAACCATAAAACAAAACATTTAAAAATATCTATGTAAGGTAGTAGGAATAATTCCCAAAGATTTAAAAAAGAATGCAGCCCCTCTCACCATTCCTATTCAACATTGTACTGGAAGTCTAAGCTTGTGCAATAGGATAATAAAAGAAAATAAAGGATATACAGATTGGGAAGGAACAAAATAAAATTGTCTTTGTTCACACATGATATGACTGTCTATGTGAAAGATAATACCAAAGAACTGACAAAAAAAATGACAATAAAATATAACAAAAGACCCAAACACATGGAACTAATAAGCAGTTACAGCAAGGTTTCAGGATACAAGGTAAATATACATAAGTCAACTGCTTTTCTATATACGAGCAGTGAGGAATTGGAATTTTAAATTAAAAATAAAACACCATTCACACTAGCTCCAAAAAATGAAATACTTAGGTAAAATTCTAACAAAACATATAAGATCTATACGAGGAAAACTATAAAACTCTGATGAAAGAAACCGAAAAAGATCTAAATAAATGAAGAGATGTTCTATGTGCATGGATAGGAAGACCTAATATTGTTAAGAAGTCAGTTTTCTCTAACTTGAATGTATATAAATTCAATGTAATCTGAATCAAAATCCCAGCAAATTACTTTGTGGATATCAAACTGATTCTAAGGTTTATACAGAGAGGAAAAAGGCCCAGAATAGTCAACATAATATTGAAGAACAAAATTGGAGAACTGACACTACCCAACTTTAAGATTTGCTCTGAAGCTACAGTAATCAAGACAGTGTGGTATTGGCAAAGACTAGATAAATAGATGAATGGAACAGAATAGAGACCTCAGAAATAGACCCATACAGATATGTCAATTAATCTTTGACAGAGGAACAAAGGCAATCCAATAAAGAAAGAATAGTGTTTTCAACAAATGGTGCTGAAACAACTGGACATCCACATGCAAACAAACAAACAAACAAACAAAACAAAACAATGAGTGTAGACAATGATCTTACACATTTCACAAAAATTAACTCAAGATGGATCATAGACCTAAATGTAAAACTTTATAGCAAAACTATAAAACTTCTAGGACATAACAGAGGAGAAAATCTAGGTGACTTTAGGTTTAGAAATGAGTTTTTAGATAAACTCATTTGTATCCAAAAGCACAATCCATGAAAGAAAAATTGATAAGTTAGACTTCATTAAAACTAAAAACTTGTGCTCTGTGAAAGATATTAAGAGAATGAAAAGATGAGCCAGACTGGGAGAAAAATCTTTGCAAAACACCCATCTGATAAAGAATTTGTATCCAAAATATAAAAAGCGCTCTTAAAACTCAACAACAAGAAAACAAATGACCCAATAAAAAGTGAGTGAAAGATTTGAACAGGCACCTCACCAAGGAACATATATAAATAGCAAATAAGCATTTGAAAAGATGCTTAACATCATCTATTAGAGAATTTCACATTAAAACAACAATGAGATACTACTACACACCTATTAAACACCTACTAACACCAATACCACCACACGCTGGTGAGGATGTGGAGCAAAAAGAACTCTCATTCATTGCTGATGTGAATACGAAATGGTACAGACACTTTGGGAGACAGTCTGGTAGTTTCTGACAAAGCTAGCCATAGTTTTACCATATGATCCAGCAACCACACTCCTATGTATTACGCAAATGAGTTGAAAAGTCCACACAAAAGCCTGAACATGGATATTTATAGGAACTGTTTTTTTGGTTTTAATTTTTTTCCAGTTTTATGGAGAAATAATTGACATACATCACTGTATTAGTTGAAGGTGTACAGATTGATGATTTGATTTATATTGGGTTGTTGGAAAAGTCATGATGTATTTTTCTATGTTTTTCATTGCAAAAATGTGTCATGACTTTTCCGACAACCCAATACATACAGTTGACCTTCGAACAATGCAGGGGTTGGGGGGCTGACTCCCATGAAGTTGAAGATTCCCATATAATTTTTGACTCTACAATTGGCCCCTTCACATTTGTGAATTCAACCAACCATGAGTCAAAAGCAGTATTTTCTATGCGTGGTTGGGAACCCACAGTCAGGAATGGGAAAACACTCTTGTCAATCCACATTTGGTTGAATCCTCCAGGTGCAAAATCCACAGATACGAAGGGCCAACTGTATTTATTTTAAAAATCCACAGATAAGTGAACCTGCACAATTTAAACCTGTGCTGTTCAAGGGTTAACTGTATTGTGAAATGATTATCATAATTTCATATAGATACAATAGAAAGGAAAGAAAAAATTTCTCCTTGTGATGAGAACGCTTAGGATCCACTTTCTTAAAAACTTTCCTATATATCATACAGCAGTGTAAACTATAGTCATTCATAATTGCCCAAACTTGGAATTGCCAATCGAGATGTGCTTCAGTAGGTGAGTGGATAAACTTGGTAAATCTATACAGTGTAATATTGTTCCATAATAAGAAAAAGTGATCTATCAAGCCACAGAAAGATATAGAGACAACTTAAATGTGTATTACTAAGTGAAATAAGCCAATCTGGAAAAGCTACGTACTGTATGATTCCAACTACATGATATTCTGGAAAAGGCAGAACTACGGAGACAGTAAGAGATCAGTGGTTGTCTGGGTTTGAGAGAGGATGGATGGATGTGAATACACAGAGCACAGATTTTTTAAGGCAGTGAAACTATTCTGTTTGATACTATAATGGTGGATACATGACAATTATGCATTTGCAAAGCCCATAGAATTGTACAACACAAAAAGTAAACCCTAATGCAAACTATAGACTTTAGTTAATGTTTCAATGTATCATTGATAATGTATCAACAGTGTATCGATATTGACACATCAATAATATATCAACAATGTATCAATATCAATGATGTATAATGATATTGATTCATCAATTTTAACAAATATACTACAGCAATGCAAGTTGTTAATAATAGGGGAAATTGTGTTTGGAGGAAAGGGAGAATATGAGAATGCTCTGTACTCTGGTAAAAATTTTCTGTGAACCTAAAACTTCTAACTAATAAAATCTATTGATTTTTAAAAAGTGCATTTGGGGAGGTTAAAAATCTTATGGGAGCCCATGATAAATTCTCAATTCTGAGAATTACTTTCTTTAATAAGGTATTCAGAGACTAGACCACAATACTGTTAAAATGTTGATGTCTAAGAATGCGAAAAACAATAATTTTCTGATTCATCTTTGGAGGGGGTGGGGCAAAAAGAAGATGGCTTTCTTAGAGTGGGGACTGGATTGGGGCAAAACATTTCAAAAGATGGCTTGAGAGAACTCCTAATTTAGAATGGAGAGGGTACAGAAGTTAACATGGAACTGGGTTGTTCTGAATAATAATATAAAAGTTTTCCTTCACTTGGGGTAGAATGTTATTTCTGAGGTTAGCATGTGTTTGGGGTCATGTACGTACGACTGGGTGGGAGGTAAACTGGTTTTCTCTTCTCTCTGGCTCTCAGTGGGGTTAGCAGCTCCTAAAATCTGAAAATGATAATACTGCCTGCACTGAAATGTGTAGTTTTTTATTGTGATTTCCTCTCATTATCCCAAACTTTCAGCATTTTTTTCTTTTTTCCCCCCCAGCCTGCTCTAGCTGTGTCTTGGGGGACTCAAGGAAGTAGTTTGTGTCTGTAATTGAGAGGAACCAGTCTGGAGAGAAGCCAGCCAGAGGAGGCAGGAACCAGAGTGACTAGGCAGATGGAGGCTGAGGTAACACGTACATAATAAGGACAGATTTGGGGGATATGCAAACATTTCTGGATGATCCCAAGAGTTCTCAGGGAGCGGGACTTGGTACAGCGCTAGAATCCCCTCAGTCAAGCACAGTGAGACCTTATCTAGATCACTGCAGTTTGGGCACTTAAAGGAAGTATGAGCCTTGACAAACTGAGATACTGGGAGTAGCTGGTTGCACTTACTTTTTTAGAAATACCCTGCATCCACGTTTTAACATATGGCATCCATTTCAGTTCATCAGGGTCTACAAACACCATTCCACATCGACTGACCGTTGCAGGGGAGGCAACCCTGAGATCTTGCACCTAAAATAAAAGAAAATTGAACAGGAAACAACTAATATGATACTTCCTTATTCCTTCAATGTTAATGAATCACATGTTTGAAGCTTAAGTTAACACTGAAAAGCTTTATGTGGAAGACAGTGGGGAGAGCTGTAAGTAATCAGAAATGGAAAAGGAAAGTTAAGCATGAGGTTAGAAAACTGGTAATTCTAGGAGGACACTGTCAAATCCTATGGGAGGGATGAGGTATTTCTTTTTCTTTCTCATTTCTTTCCCATTCCATTCTTGTATCTAACACCTAGCCTAATACCTGGCATATAATAGGCATTCAATCAATGTTTGATTAACGAATAGAGAAGGGATGGTTATCTTTTGTAAAATTTTGTCACTCTATTTGGTCCATATTCCTTTTCCAAAATACTCATAGCACACTAGGATAATTTAATCACTTTAAACACAACAATTTTTTTTTAACTTAGAAAGCATATCAAATCATGTAAACTCATCAATATGTATATTAAATACCTCCAAAGGAAAAGAAACAGGTGCTGGGGAAGCCAGAATTTATTTTATTTCCTGTTTACAGATATACAGGAATGTTTGAGAGACTTTTGTTGTCAGGATGGACAATATATTACAAATGGACAATTTAATAAGTATTTAATACATAAACAAAACACCATGGTAGGCCTTACAGATAGTAAATGATACATCAATGTAAGAAAAAAATTATGATGGTATGCCAATCTAATGAATGATTTCTTCACTCTACAGTATGACATATACATTTACCTCAAAAAGCATGTGGATTTGAGGTGTGAGTTTAATCCTCTCACTGTTAGCCAGGCAAAGCATCTTGTTATCATCCAACACTGTATTCATATTTTCAATCCAAAGAGCATCCACTGGCCCATCACTGATGATCCATTTATGGTCTTCCGAAGTATCATTCACAGCTGCTCGGACACTCAGTGCCATCAAGCCATCTTTCCACTCCAAGGTTGTGCTATTAACTTCGCCATATAATTCACCCATTGTAATCGATTTAGGATTAAGAACGTATGTTTTAACTGGTTGGTAAAAGGGATTGTCTAAACCAAGTTTTTGCAAATTCCCTAAAGTTTCTGCAAGTATTCGGTAAACTGTGGTCTTGCCACCTCCTGTTGGCCCAACTAACATAACACCATGCCTTACTAGCATGGTTTCATAGAATTGTATCACTTTTTTAACCATACATATCTCAGGCTGAAGGTTTTGTTTATTCATGACATCTATAATTGTAGATTGCAATATACCATAATCATGTTCTGGAATTTGGACTCCAGGAAAAAGGTCAGATATGATTCCACTGAAATAACAAAAATAAAATAGATTAAGAACCACTAGTCACTGAGTTTTCCCCATATTTCTTACAATTAATTGATTAAAAATTAAAATGTCTTATTTTTCTCATTGATCTTTTCTTCTAAACTTGCACAGTACTACTCTGTCCTATGAGTTATACCAGAATCTATTATTTCTCTGATATTGTATTTGATTTTGTTTGTTTCCTGTACAGTAGACCAATGTTCTTAAGTATACTGGGAGCTTTATGAGAAAAGGAATAACTATTATCTTTTTTATGTTGTCCACAGTACATGGCACAGTGCCAAACATACAGAAGGTGATGAATTTATCAATTTATTTTAAAAATTATATTTCTAACTCAACTTTCCCCAAATGTATTTATATGTGCTTATATCTGTATGTAGATATTCAGAAAATAAGATGGAAACAAAAATAGTGAACTAGCACTAGGTAAAAAAAAGGAGTAATGCAAAATTTGACTATTCTGTGGGAAAGTGTTAATATGGGATGTCTCTGTGGATAAAAAAGAAGCTAAATCCCTACCTCACACCATATACACAAATGCAGTTGAGATACAGTAAAGACCTTAATATAAAATGCCAACAAAAGTACTAGGTGAGAATATAAAAGATGAATTTTGTACCACTGTGTTAAGAAGGTCTTTCTAAGATAGACAAGAAATCTATAACTGTAAAAATTGTTGATAAAGTGAAAATATAAAAACAAGCCAAAGACAAATGTCCATAAGGTAAAAGCCTTTATATATAAACTTAATGACTTTTAGGCTTAGAAAATATTTCCAATTTTTATACCAGATAAAGTTTGAGTTCCTACAAATCAGTAAGTAAAAGAGCACAATAGAAAAATGCTCTAAGAAATAATAAATGTACGTGACTAATAAGCGTACATGACTAACAACACTAATAATTAAAGAAATGCATGCATTTCTTTTGGTCCCTCTTTAAAACATTGTAAAAGGAAATGAGCATTTTCATAAAACCACTTATATAAATGTAAAATGTCTTTGGAGAACATCTTGATAGACTATCTAATTTTAAAATATTCATATCCTATGACCTAGTGAACTTACTTCGTACAGTCTCAATTATAGAAATATCATAAGTGTGCAAAGACAGCTGTATAGGAATTTTCATCTTGTGTCCTACCAAAAGGGAGTAGACAGACACATGATCTGGGAAACAGGGGCACTGAAAGAAGACAAAGGCAGAGGGAATCCCAGCATAGTCATAAATGGACATCCCAGGATGATAGATGGGCACCAGGGGTAATGGGCAACCAGTCCCGATTAGAGCAGGACAGAGGGCTCCAAAGAGACATATTCAATAGAATATTTTGTATCATTGAAGGTTTTGTTTGTTTGTTTGTTTGTTTGTTTTTAGGAGATTTACACTCTGGCAGAATTTGGAGATGAATTAATGATAGATTTACGGTATAGAAAAGTAGGTAATGGATTAATTTATATAGCTATGATAAATTATGGAAATCCTGGATATTTAGCTCAAGTTATATTGCAATATGACTATACAGACAGGATGGATTGAGGGGAAGAAATGTATGTGCACATCTTCATCTCCCTGTTAGTAACTTAATAGATGATATCTAAAACTGAAAAATAAAGAAATGGCAGAGACATGGTACTAAATATATGGAGGGAAATAGCAAAATGAATGAATGAATGAATGAATCAGTGGAAAATGATAGCTTTTAGGAAGTAGGAGTTGGTGAAAGGCAGGGAACTGTTGTTTTTCATAAGATTAATTTATGACACTATTTTATTTTTAAATACATATGAGAATGGATAAACATAGAGCTAAATAATAAAAGTAGACATATACAAATAAAAATAATCACATTTATGTTAAGCCCAAGTCTGATTTTTTGGGGTTGGAAATTTCTCTTAGATCAGGCACTTGTAACCAAATGCTAATTTCCATAGCACACAGCCTGGTGATAAATATTTTGAAAAAAATAATTGGATCAAATGCTTAAACTTTAGTACCTTTATTTTAAACTAGCATTTTTAAAAACTGCAATAAGTATCTCTAGAAAAGATAAGCCCGTTAGTTCCTTGTTAGAGACAGACATATTTCCGGATAAGACTATCCTTTACCTTACGCGGTAGCTATGCTTTATTCTGTAACATCTAGAAGCTTACCTGAACAGAAGAGCGTCGTCTGTTAAGAATTTTGGCAAGTTGGAATCTCGTAAAGCTCTGATCAACACCACATCTTCACTTAGGTCTGGGTTCTCTCTTTTTAAAGACCTATATTAAAAGAAAGAATTCAAATGATATTATGAGAACATTATTAATGATGTTCCTCACCTATTGGTCAAGGATCCTACTGTAGGGGGCGCCCCTGTGCAGGTTCCCACAGGAAGTGGGGGGGGGGCAGGATCCTGTTCCTTTCAGGCTGAGCGTCCATCTCCATCAGAGCATGCGCATAGGTCAGGACCTGGCTACATAGCCTTGAGGAGAACGACAAGGACGTTTTCTCAACCTCCCCCATCAATCCAACCTGAATTTACATGCATCCGTGGATGCATCATGATGATTCACATCATTGTGACTTTCTTTTCTCTCAGCCCAGAACACGCTGCTTTGCTTTTTTGTCGGCTCTCATTTTCCCTTCAGAACCCAGCCCAGTTACTCCCTCCTCTAGAAAAGTTCCTCAGTCCCTCTCCGGTAGCTCTATGGTTACCCTAACTACTTCGTATCCCAGATGACTGCGCCTTTGTCTGTCTTGCCTACTGGACTGCAGTTGTTTTCTTTGAGTGCAAGTATACCTGAACTTCTTAGTATTCCTTCTCCTTAAGTGGCAATCTGGTGAAGAGGAGAAATACTCTATGTGGGAGGTCAAAAGAAAGAACAGAAGCTACAGAGGGCAGGGGGATTTGGGCAAAACCCAGGGATACAGGAGCCAGGCAGAAGGGGCCCCGGATATGCAGAACACAGAACAGCGAGCCATGGCCTGAGAGGAAGGGCCTGAGAGGAAGGACCGGAGAGGAGACAGATTTTCTCAGAGACTCTGGGCAAGCTGAGGATTCCAGAGGCAGGAGTTTCAAGAGGATGTAAAGAGAGAAGTTAAGGCCTGAAACGAGAATGTTTTTACTAGACACTAGAAAGAAGCTCAGTCATGGACCATACTCTAAAGACAGAGGTGAAATCTTGGGAAAAGCCTAGACTGAAGACAGAATGATGAAGCTGCAGTTTTCTGCATGCTTCAGGCTTTGCCCGGCTACATGTATGACTTCATTATTGTATGTGCATAACACACTGAATGCCCTTTAAGTCTAGTCATCCCTAGTGTAGTGGTAAAGGCTTTTGTACCCCAAAATCCAACATATGTGATAAATTCAGGGGAAATGAAAATTAGCCAAAGGATGAGGAGAGATGTCCCATTTCACTGTGGAATGGGAGTGTCAAGATAAGAATGATGACAACTGCAGCAGCTAACATTTATTAATTCTTGGCTATGTTGCTTTAAGAGCCATCCATGAATTACTCATTTAACACATTTGATTGCATGGTTTGGTGTTTTCCTTTTGACCACCTTGGTTTCTTACCCAGCCATGACCAGTACAGACTTCACAGCTCTCATGCCGAAGTCGTAGTGATCCTGCTGAGAGAGCTGTTCGCTGCAAAGCTTATACATCTGAGTCATTTTTCTTGCTAAAATTTTACTGGATTCAAATCCTTCAGAATATAGAATTACCTAGAAAAAGCATAAAGTAATGCTTACTATCTTATATTGACAACAATATATTAACATAATACCAATGTATTCAAAATCTACTTTAGGCATTACACCTCTCCAAGTTGTTATATCATTTAACAAAGAAATGTAAAGATTGAAGGGAAAAGGGTTTTCTGTGCCACAAGAAGGTAAAAGGTGGGCTATTGTTTGGGGGAGGCCTGGGCACTGATTATGCTTTCTTTTTACAGATGAAGAGGTGGCCTTAGTGACATTTGGTTCAAAGAGCTGAGAGCCCACTGCTTGACAAATGTTCCCATCATGGAGGTTGGATGGTGTTATAACGCCTGAGTACAAAAGCAAGATTTGAGCTTTTCTGATCTGATGTCAATGATAGCAATGTGCTCCCTTTAGGCTCCCAGGGAAGCAAGAGATGCTACGCCAAGGTTTGCAGCCTATCCCCTGCCCTAGGAGGCTACATTGCCTCTGACAAGTTTCTGCATCCTTGGCTAAATAAATCAATAATGATAATGATGGTAGGTCCTTTGTCTAATCCATAATCAACTTGAATCACAACAGTTGGCCTCAGCATCAGGATTTGAAATGATGCAGAGATTTCTTACGGGTGTCTGTTTTGTTGATTGCTCTGTCACTACTTATTAGCACAGAGCTCTGCACACTGCAGGTGATTAAAAATATTTACTGATGACAGACCCCGATTCAATCAATCTGTAACACAGGAATAGCACTCAGTAGACTGGAGTTTTCAATTTCTCCAATTAATTACTGAATAATATAACAATAGGACGAAACCTGAGATGTGAACAAAATGTTGGACTGAGTTATAAACCTGGTTTTCTTTCTACCAGCTTTGGACAATGAGCAAGTCATTTATTGTCCCTGTCCACAGAAGGTCTAGAGTGAAGACACCACCTGCCTTAACTGCCTGCCACCCCACCATGCCCACAGGCGGTGCTGGGGGACCCACAAGATGCTGTAAACATTATAGTAATAAAAGTTGTAATTTTTCTAATGATAGGATTTGGCATGGTTTAGTCCATTCTTAGGTAATTACTTCTACCTCGCATAAAGGAATATTTTAAATTAGCTGTTATCAAAGGAATTAGTAGCCACAGGAGTAATCTATGCTTTCTGGGAAATTCCATTCCAAAAGGAGAGCGTTCCTTGTTAAGAAATGTTAAGTGCTGGGCCGGCTGAGTGGCACGTTGGTTAAGAACTGGCTTGGGATGCCAGAGGGCCCTGGTTCGGATCCCACATATGATGGCCAGTGACACTGCCCTCTGCAGCTAAGATGCTGAACAACAGCTCAACCTGGAGCTGGGCTGCCGTGAGTCGCCAGTGAAGCAACGTCCTCCAAAATGACAGCAACTTGTCTGTTCCCCTTCCCCCAATTCCCCAATAAATATCTTAAAAAAAAAAAAAGACATGTTAAGTGCTGAGCACAAGGGGCCTTCTGGAGTCCTGCAATGATCTATATTTTGGTCTTGGTGGTCACACAGGTGGATCCTTGTGTAAGAAGCCCTTGAGTTATATTCCTATGATCTCTGCACTTTCCTATATATAAATTATACCTTGGTAAAAAGTGCCAAGAAAAATTACATTGGTTCTTAGCTAGTATGAAGAAACAAAAGCAGTTTAAATAGAAAGATTCCTGGAGAGATGCAGAAAGAACAAATACAATATAGATAATTAATTAATTAATGATTACTATTTTTTGACTAAGCTGATACAGGTTTACAAATCAATCTGCACCCTTTATCATCGTGGTTACATTGCTGCTTCTCAACATCCCTTGACTCTAATAAAAAATAATGCACAAAGAGAAGTGAGAGTGATACAGTATTTTTAGAATGAATCCAGACATTTTAATTCCAGGATGAACTGATAAACCCCAATAAACTGCTTAATTTAACTCATTAATTTCAGTTTTAAGGACCTACTACTATATTCCAGATACCATTCTGGGCATTAGGGATATAGAAGTCACACACACACACACACACACACACACACACACACACACACACACATAAAACATTCTACCTGATAACAATCACATATACTCTTCTGAGCAAACAATTATGTATAACCTTTGCCGGTGCATTTATAAAGGAAACTTTCTACTTCAATAGAATCAAATGGCAAATAAAACAGACAAGCTTAAATTTTTCCCGCTTTATAATGTGAAACTCACCTCTGCAATCAAGGCATAATTTGGAACCATCATTGCAAAGGGTCTAAACAAGGCTTTCAAATTATCTGGCAATTCGGTTCTGCCTGCATATCCGGGGTTCATTGTGATGAAGGCTGCACAAGTCATGACCAACTTTATTTCCCGGCCCTCAAACATGAATCTAGAGAGCTGTTTAAAGGAATGAGAAAGTATGAATTAACACTTATCCAGACAGTAGTAAATTCTTTCACATAATTACTTCTGGAGTCAAAATTTGTGTAATGGAGCATTCACGCAATGACTACTGGGAAGCATGAGGGTGTGTATTTAAAGGAATGCAGACTTTAGGGTCACATGGATTTAGGTGGTTGTATGGTGTTCCCAGAAATACTTTTACATTTCTTTGAATCCTTTTCACCTTTAAGTAACCTTGGGAAAATGCCACCTACTTCACATAAGTTTGGTGTGAAGATAAAATCAGTGTAAAGCACAATGACTTATAAATTGAGCAGCTCATTAAAGTCCAATTTCTGCTTTCTTTTTACCTGTTCTATAATTTGCTTTTCTGCAGAGATGATAATCAAAATATTTAACAACTCTTTAGTAGGGCACCTTCAAATGATAATCATCCTTGTCCCTAGAGCTAGAGCTGGGTCTAGAGGCCCCCTTGCTATGTCAGGATGAACCCTTAAGAATGGATCCTAAGGAGGTCAGAGGCTCCTCAGGAAGGAGTCAAGGTAGAGTTGGGGACCTTCAGGGGCTAGGGCAGTGGCTCTGTAAATACTAAATGATTGGCAAGGCCATCCTGGCTTGTGCAGTTTGAACATCAGTCTGCCCTTGTGTGATCTCATGACCATATCTCAGGTCAACACACAGTGGCATGGTACTTGGTCCCATCCTTCACTGCCATCAGCTTCCCAGTACAAACCCCTTCTCCAGTAATGTGCTCATATGGGCTAATTTTTTTTTAATAGTGGGGCCAGGCCACGTTCATATTTTCATCTGATCCTACACTCCTTGGCTTTTCCAGTCCAGTGACTTCAGAGAGCCAAGGTCCTCCTAGATTCCCCCAGGACCCCTCTCCCTTTTTCTTTATTTTTATTTTTTTTTAATTTATTTTTTTTTAGCTGAGCCATCCTGCTACCTGTTGGCAGCTCAGTGGCAACTCAGCTCAGGCTGGGCATCAAACCGCTGTTGCTCAACAAGAGTGTGAGCTCTTAACCAACTGAGCCACTCAGCCGGCCCTGCCTCTCCCACTTTTCTACCAGCACTAGGCTGAGCCTGGGGCCCATCTTGAAGGCAATGGAGCCCAGAAGGCAGCATTAGAGATACCTAGCAGAGAACTAAGTGTCAAAGGCAAGAACAAGAAAGGTGAGGAAGAAAGCAGTAGATGGAGGAGAGAAGGACAGAGTGTGTGTGTGTGTGTGTGTGTGTGTGTGTGTGTGTGTGTGTGTGTGTGTGTGTGTCTGGGAAGAAGAACAGAGTTCCACGAGGGCAGGAACTGAGTTTCACCAACTCCATACCCCAGCTCCCAGCATAGTGCCTGACATAAGGGTTGTTTCTCTGTGTTGCCTGGATGAGGAATTAATTCTCCCAAACTAAGTCATGCTGCTGTAGTACTCACCAGTTACACCGGAAACGTGGAATCGACAGGCTAACGTTAGCATCATCCTTCCATGCAACATGCTGTAAATTAATTACAAACTGAAGAAATGCTACCTCCATAGACAAGTGCCTGATGCCTTACCTTCGCAGCTTTGGCATTCCTAATGGTTATGAGTTGTTGCGCTATGACGGACAAAACTTCTATGTCAATTCGATTAAATTCATCGAAGCAGCACCAAGCCCCCGACTGTGCCAGACCGCTGAAGAAGCGCCCCATCATCTGAAATCAAAATCACACCGTTCAACTTTGCATTATGGAGTTGAACTCCTTCAAAAGTTCAATTTTTAGCTGAAATATTTTTTGAAAAAAAAAAAAAAGAGTCAGTATGTGTAAATAAGCAAATGTTTTATATGAATACTGCGCTGTGTCAGAAGTTAGCACCTTTCTGTTAGAGGAAACATAGTTTTGTCTCTTTCTAAATGATTTGTCTCTTTCTAAAAGAACATGTCCCGGAAACACAAATTTCTGGAGATGCTTCTGAATAGTAAGTATGATTTATTCTACGAATGAATGAGTTGCTATTTACTTGGACAATTTAAATGATACTATTCTAAATTTAGACATTACGCAGGCATTTGTGTAACATTTAGAAAAATGACAATTTTAGCTCTGTGCATGTTAGTGGACAAAAGACATCCATGGTCAAATACATTTAGGATGTGCTGAATTAAGTAAAGCTCAACAGATTTCTAAAATGTGGAACTTTATAAAGTATTTAATAGGCTACTCTGAGTTGTGAAAACCTAGAAGGGAAATGAGGCATAGCACAGATTTTTGTTGTTGTTCTGCATATGTTGTAGTAGAATTCCAAGAAACATCCTTTGGGGAGGTGCTGTTTCACATACTAATTATTTCACCGGTGTCTTTCCTGTAACTGAGGGGCTCTTCGTCTTTCCTAGAGAGGACATCTAAAGCCGTAACCAACAGAGTCACTAAAACAAGTGTCACTAAACACGAAGTGGTTACTGAAACAAGTGGTAGGGTACTTGTCCTTCTCTTGTTTCTGCTCTGGAGGCTTCTGCTCCCATCTTCCCAATGGTATGGGTGAGGTGTGGGGGGGTGGGCAAAGTGGGAAATCTTATTCTTGTCACATGTTTGACTGGAATATTGACAAGGACAGCCTTGATCTTTTTCTGAAGATCCTATAGACCCTTCAAGAGATGTGACTTTCCAAATAAGGAATCAACGTGCCAAAAAATAGCAGCTCCCAAAATGTCATTTTCAGATCCCTGCAAGTTCTAGAGTTTCTTCAAGAGGGCCTGCAAGGTAGAAGTATTTTCATAATAGTACTAAAATGTTATTTGCCTTTTTCACTCTCATCCTCTCATGACACTACAGAGTATGAAAAAATTATTGATATAGTTTCAGTTTCCACATTGCAAATAATCCCCAAGAAAACACTACTTGTCAAGTTTTAGTGTAATTTTAAAGAAGAATATCAACAATGATCTGAAAGTTATTGAAATAGTGCTCTCTTTTTTTTGGGTACATGTCTGTGTGAGGCTAGATTTTATTCAAATATTTCAACCAAAATAACATATCTCAACAGGTTCAATGCGGAGGGCAGATATGAGAAACTGGCTGTCTTCTACTATGCCAAACATTAGAGATTCCAAAAATATAAAACAACGTCACTCTTCTCACTAAATTTTTTGTTTGGGAAAATAGTTATTTTTCACAGAAAATATGTTTATGCTAACATGTAATGGATTTATTATTGTTATTTTAAAACAAATTTTTTAAAAGTATCAGTTTTAACTTCTAACATGGTAATTATCAACAGAGGTAACCCATATATATATAAATAAAAGCTTATGAGGTCTCAATAAATTTTAAGAGTGTAGAGGATGCCTCTGACCAAAAAATTTGAGAACTGCTATATTAACAAATCTTACCACGAATGCTCACCTCCTACATGTTTCATTTTCAATATACAACTTTCCGAATTGCTCATCTCTTTCTGTAAGCTTATTCCTTGTTCCTAGATTTCCTTGCTCTTTTATCTTGTGTTTCATCTCTCTTCTTTCTACTTACTGACATGAGTAGAGTTTTAATTTTGCCACCATTTGGCAAATCCTCCCCTGGCCTCAATTCCTACACCTTAACCACCCAGACCACCTTATGTGCTATTTATTCTCCTCCTTTGTGCTATTTATTCGACTTTATGCTATTTTTTCCACTTTAACCATCCTTTGCCCACTAGCTTTCCCTTGCTTTCCATCACCCCATTCTCTCCTTCTTTGGTTATGTCATGTTGCAAGTGGAGAAAGCCACATAAAGCACTTAACATCAGTGTGCAGATGCTGGGACTGTACCTTGTAGTCCAAACCATCGGAACAGTTGAAGACCACACACTGGATGGCAAGAGCTTTTGCCAGGTCTTTGGTAGTCTCAGTTTTCCCAGTGCCAGCAGGACCGGCTGGCGCACCTCCCAGGTCGAGCTGCAAAGCCCCCATGAGGCAAAGATAGCAGCGATCCTGAAGAAATTGATACATTGTCATTATTGAAGGGAACTGACTCTTGCCACAAATTCCTAAGTCCTTTCCTTTCTATAGAAGGAGGGTCATTTTTTTTCTATGAAGGTTTTATAGCAATTGAGATATTCTCAAAGATCCAGGCATATAATTAATTAATACAAGCCTCTGCTTCATAAAGATGTATTTCAAGAGTTACTATCATATGAAACTTTTCCAGACAATTTTGATTAAAAAAAAAGCACTCCTGTGTCAACATTAACCAAAGTGATCAGTAACTTACCGTGAGAGGAGTAATAACTAATCTTGGGCATGCACCCAAATATTCATAGCCATAAGTGTACTGAGAGAGCGCCATTCGAGCCACACAATTATCTACATCTATTTCCCAGTAATAGCGCAGCTGTCTCTGCCAGTCAAAGGATTCGACTTCCTCTACCTATCGAAGAAATAACAGTGATGCACATATTAGGTGCACTAATTTCACAAAGAAATATGCGATTTTACTTAAATGAAACAGGTACCTTGGCTTGAACAAGTTCGGTGACTATATCTCGTGCATGCACATCGATAGTAATTAAGGCTGTTATGATGTTTCTGTGTAATTTAGGAAGATTGCCTCGAACTATTGCAGCCAGAGCATTTAATCTCTACAAACAAAAGAGAAATTAGCATAATGAATGTTCAAAAATCAGCCTGGATATATATAGTTTTACTAATAATTTTAGCGTAGGCATTTGCCAAAACTAATTTTAAGAATCTAAAATTCTGTGGCCAAACAGGACAACAGTTTAACTTAGTTAATTTCTATAAGACTTCTAAGAAGTACATACTATCTTTAACCCCATTTTCCATTAGAGGAAACTGAGGGTCAGAGGGGGTAAGTAACTTAATGGCAGTCACACAGTTATGAAGTGGCAAAAATGACACTTGAATAGACATATGCCTCAGGAAAGCCTGTGCTCTTATGTCACTAGAGAAGACTGTTCTTCCTAAAATTAAATGAGATTAAGGTAGTATGCCTCATTTTGGGGGGTAGTATTTTCTTTGATAATCAGAAAATGTGAGTATTTTAAGTAGGCCAAAGATTGATGAGATAAAAGCATTTTTGATGGATTGAGCTCCTGATGCTAACCTAAATGGCTAAATCTTTTTCACAGAAGTGCAGTTGACCATTTTCAGTCCTGAAGTCCTTAACTGCTATGCTGAGTTTTCACTCAGTGACAACCCCAATCAGGGATCACCTCCATACAGAAGTGAACAGGAATTTCCCTAAAGAGTCTTTTCTCTGCTCTGGGGCTCTTTGACATGAAATTCTATTGAGGACTCCCCCCCCAGCACTCCCCCCCACCCTTTCTGTTTTAACGGTGATTCTTTAAAAATGCAACGTTGCTTGGAAATAGAATTGAATTTGGAGTTAAAGAGTAGTCATAGCTGTAAAATGGCAGTTCCCAATGATAGCTTAAAAGTTCTTATAGAATGCTATTTAGATTCATTCAGTTATTTATTGTTTTATTTATAGTTGCACAAAGGTTCTATAAAATAGAAGAAAAGCACATGTTGAGCCTAAGAATAGAAATGGCACAAACCTTGGGGTTTTCCTGGATTGGATAAACTTCTATGAGAGATATCCAGGACCTAGTAAATACAATCTCTCCTTAAATGTTGCAAACTATTATAATCCTGACATTTTCCTCTTGAATTGTTTTTTCCTATTTTTGAAAGTATTTATATAAAATACTATACCAATACCAAGGTAGTATTTGTAAGAAAACTTAAACATAAGTGGTTTTAGTTAGAGCCTCAAAGCTTTGGAAGCCATGTCGGAGCTTCAGATTTTTAAAGAAAGTGAATTTGCATTAACCACACCAATAAAAACCACCGAGACCATCTTGCACAGCAATATGTTCAATGTCACCCTCTTAAAAAAACTCACCTCAAAGTTGACTTTTTCAAAAGCTTCCAGGGCTTCTAAATGATTATCATCGCTTTCCAAACACTCAGTCAAGTCACGGCACCACATGATTTGAGAAACGGTCAGGATCACCTACATGGAAACATCTTCCTTGAGTGTGTGATCCGTATCACCAAAAAAGGAATTAGAGATAGAAACTTAAGGAGTGTGATTTACTTGAGAAGGGTGGCCAGCTATCACCCACTCTGTTCGCGGTTTCCCCTGATAGTCAGCTATGGCAGCTTTGCACAAGCGACGCAAAGATGTGAACATGGCTTCTTCCACTTTACCGAGCCATTCCTCCACATTGCCTCGGGCTTTGAGGCCTTTTCCCAAGCTGACCTAGAAGATAATCAGAGCATCAATAAAATGTTCATGGGCTCCTTCAGTTCCACAGATACACCACCGTGCTCTGACTGGACTGAAATCCTTGGCATGTCCCCACATGGTTCCCATGAATGGAATGTTCTCCCCACTATGTCTCCTCTCCATTTTCCTTGGCTGCTCGCTCTCTCTCTCTCTCTCTCTCTCTCTCTCTCTCTCTCTCTCTCTCTCTCTCTCTCTCT